GGAGCAGCCTGGGACAGTGGGAGGTGTCCCTGCCCATGGCAGGGGTGGCACTGGATGGACTTTAAGGTCCTTTCCAACCCAAACCAGTCTGTGCATCTATAAACCCCAAAACACCTCTAGACCTGCCCCTGAAAAAGTGAGTGAACCCTACACATCTTGTGACTCATAGAATAAAAGATAAATAACAGCTCAAGATTTGTGTTCTGCAGTTTGTTCCATTTTATTGCTTTCTGTGGGTTTTTTTTGCAGGGGGCTGTCAAAAGTTTGAACATTTTGAGCTCACAGAGGTGAGATGGCACCACCATGAATGAATTTTCCCCCATCCCCAGGAGTTCAGGCTGTGTCCTGCAGCAGATGAGGATGATAATGTCCATGCCTGGGGAAGATGCAGGGCCTGACACATTCCTGCATGGCTGATGTAAGGAGATTGTTCTAAGTACAGGTTGCTGTGCCATAAACCTGTGCTGGGTGAGCATCTCAGAGCTGTTATTTTGCACGCTGGCATCTTTGRGAGCTTGGGAAAGCAGCACTGAGGGCATTTTTGCAATTCAGCAACACTGTCACACCTCTCCTACCTGCTGGGAGCTCCAGACGGTACCAAATCCCTCAGATTTTTCAGCTCTGCTAAAAAACTCCCTGGGAAACTCTTCCTAACCCTGACCAACTGGATGGCTGGGCTGGGAGCTTGCTTGGATGGGAATGGGCTTTTAGTGGGAAAGAGTAACTTCCCACCCCATCAGCCACCAGCCAGGACACGGCTTGGGAAGCAGAGCTGAGGCGTGGTGGGATGGAGTAAAGGCACCAGGAAAACTGATTATTGATGGTCTGAGAGCAAACCCTGGAGAGATTTTGCCTGGGAAGAGCATATCCTGCAAGATGCTTGGGAGGCAGGAGGAAGCAGGGGATGGGGTTTAATTAGGGCTGTCCTACTGATTTGATTCTCAGGGTTTTAACCCWGTCATAGCAAACTGAACATATTTAAGTAAACAATCCAATTATCATCACAACACTTATGCCTGGGCCCTAGAGTGGGGACAATTTAGGACACTGGAAAGCCTGCCTTGGAAAAGTCTGGGTCATGGAAATGAGGTTTGGGAGAGGAACTTCTGATTTATAATTCAGCCCCAAACAAGGCAGTAAATGTCCCAGCAGCATCTCCAAAGAAAAGGGCCACGCAGCCCCTGCCAGACAGATGGTTCAGGATAACTCTGCCATGCTCTCCCCCTTCCTTGGAAATCTGCTGCTTGGCCCTGGCTGGGTGAGCTCAGTGTTCAGCCCACCCTGCCTTACCTCATCCAGGAAATGAGGAAAAAGTAAACACATTGCTCCAAATCTTGGCCCGAGGCTGCAGCGGGCCAGGAAACCAAACCCTAACTCTGCTTTTAGTCTTCTCTCCTACTGAACCCTTCCATGAGGATGCCAAACAAGGAGACAGCAAGATCTTGGCTCTCTTTAGGATCAGGCCTGACTGAGCTACCTGTCAGGTGTCTCCTYAGTTTCCAAAGGAAGCCAGAAGGTTCCCCCAGGCTCTGTCTCTCCAGGCCMAGCCCCTTTCCCAGCTCCCTGAGCTGCTCCTCAACACAGCCCTTTCCCAGCTCTGTTGCCCCTCCAGGTTTAGGGTTGTCCCAACAAATTGCATGGATGTTTTGGCTTCTTCCACCAGAAATTCAACTACAAATGCTGGCCCTTAGGGCATCACCTCCACAGCTGCCAACACATCCCCACTTTTGTAACCAGCACCACCATGAATGAGACCAGGGTGAGAACAGAGTGCCACATCCCACAGATGGGGGGTGGAAATGAAGGACAGATGGGAGCTGAGCAGGACATCTGAGAGTTCTCCTGTGTCACCGAGCCCTGCCAGCATTCCCTTGTCCTGGCCACGATGCTGGGCTGGGATTTCTCTCCCCACCCTGTGCTCTGAATAAACCCAGCAGACTCCATCCCTCCTTGGCACCCCACGCCTGCTCCTGCTGGCATCTCCCCTGCGCCCTGCCAGGAATGGGAAGCCTTCAGGAGAGCAGCAGTGCCATCCCAGCTCCCCAGACAAGCCTTACTCAGCCTCCCCCAGCAGGCAGAGCCCTCTGACACCGCACCAGGAGATGTGTCACCATCCAGCCAGGAGGTCTGTCACCATCCAGCCGTGCTGGCTGTCGCGATGGCGAGCGGGTCCGAGCCCGTGTCCTCCCCGTGCCCTCAGCTCACCCCTGGCTGCTGCAGCTGGCACAGGGATGGAGCTGGAAGCTGTCCAGGAGGCTCAGCTCACGGCAGGCTGCAGCAGCATCCCTCTCTGGAGTGGGACTGCTCTCCAAAGCGCAGCTCCCACCAGCAGGAAGGGCACATTACTCACTCACACATCCACTCACTCAGCGCCGGCACCGGCATCCAGCTGGCAGCGCTCAGAGCCCCGGGGAAACCCTGACCCAACAGCCAGGCCAGGGTCAGGACACCCCCAGCTGCCTTTTTATTTATAGGGCAAGCTCCCAGCAGCAGCAATATGATTCATTTTTTTCCAGTCGAGCGTTTCACACACACCCTATTTCGGTACCGCAGCCTGGACGTGTCTCCGGGAAGGAAAAATTAGATCAGAATAAAAATAGAGGCTTTCCAAATGTTTTCAGCTGATCCTATTTGCAAATGGTAAAATGGGCTTTTAAAATGATAAAATGATCAAGAAAGCTTTCAGCAGCACAGGCAAGCAGCGGGATCAGGCACATGGAGGGATTATTGGGGTGTCCTGTCCTTGATCATCCTTGTGGGTCCCTTCCAGCTCAGGAGATTGATTCTGTGAATCTGAGTTTGAGGTCAAAYACTTGCCTTACCCTTGGGAGAGTGATTTAACCTATCATTAAAAATCCCCTCCCAACTCCTGCCAGCACACTGAAATAAAAAATTTTAAAAATATTTGTTTCCTTACAGCTGCATTGGATGTATTAATTTAAAATTAAATTTAATTTATTTTTAAATTAAATTTAAATTAATTTAAAATTAAATTTATCAAATTTTTCCTTAAAAAATAAATTTTTTCTACCAGGGCTGCTCTGGCAAAAGGGTGATAATGTATTAATGGGTAGCCCAGGGAAAACCCTCTAGTAAAAGAGTCGTGTGCTGGAGAAGAGCAAAACTGATACTCCAAAGAAAAGGAGGAAGAGATGAAAAAGGGGGTTTTGACCATGGAAGCAAAAATTTGATTATGATCATATTGAAGAACTATGGAGAAACTTTGGCATCTTTCAATCTCAACTCAGCTCCTGTAACCCAAAACCCATGGACTTTCCCCAGATAATTATTTAATGGACCAAGGCAGAAAAGGCTTTAAAACCAGCCCCATTCTTTCCCAAGGGAAATCCCCARCAAAGTGGAGTTTCCCTGGAAATTCTGCCTGTTGAACCTCTCAGGATGGGGGAAAAGGGGACCTCAGCAGCACCTTTGGTACTGCCCACCTTCCTGCTTCCCATGCCAGTGTCCCCTCTGTGCCACCGCTTTCCTGGTGTCCCTGCTATGCCACCCCATTTCTGTTCCCATGCTGGTGTCCCTGCTGTGCCACCACCTTCCTGGTGTCCCCTCTGTGTCAACACCTTCCTGCTTCCCATGCTGGTGTCCCTCTGCTGTGCCACCACCTTCCTGGTGTCCTCTCTGTGCCACCCCCTTCCTGATTCCCATGCCAGTGTCCCCGCTGTGCCACCACCTCCCTCGTGTTTCTATGTGCCACCACCTTCCTGGTGTCCCCTCTGTGCCACCCCATTTCTGTCCCCATGCTGGTGTCCCCTCTGTGCCACCCCATTTCTGTCCCCATGCTGGTGTCCCCTCTGTGCCACCCCATTTCTGTCCC